GGGGGGGGGCACAGAAGCTGCAGAGACAAGCAGAGGAGGGGGATAGGGGGAAGGTGGCTGCTGCAGCTCTGACTCTGGCTTTGTATATGAATACAAGATTAGAGGCATTTTCCCCCATGCTGATAGGGGACACCTTGTCTTAGATTTGAGTAAATACTCAGTCTAAAATTTTCCTTTTAGTTTTATCCCATTACTCCTAGCTATTCCCTTATGCATTACAGTTTGAACGATTTAGAATCCTTTAAAATCAGGAAATTATCAACTTTTACTCTTAGATTCTCTTTATTTTTACCATGTATATCACAATAGATAGCTTTAGAACAAGCTAACATTACTATGGTTCAGGTGTATGCAACTGGTACAGTTCAGTAGTACATAAACAACTCTAAAACAAATGCACTGTAGAACTTAAGTTACCAAAAATAAACAATATTAAACTTTATGTCAGGCAGTAGGTAAAAACAATTACTTGTAGGTTCTGTACACAAAAGAAAAAGTAGTAAGCTTTACATTATGATTGAACGTATGCAGTTGCACTATAGAGTAAGGTATATTACAAGGAATGAACTTCAAAAATTGTCACATTTTGGTTTTGTTCCAGTGATGCACAATCACATGAAATCTGACATCAGGTTGTTGGGGGTGGGGGTTGGTAAAACTAATATATCTGCTTACTTTAAGATGTATTTTTAATTAAAGATTTTATTTTGGAAAAAAGCTGTGTAAAAACATTTAAAATAAAATAATATTGAAGGTTGTTTACAGACTTCTTAGGGATTGTAGGCATAAATGCAGTCAGGAAGCTGCAGTGTTTTTAACATTGGTAAACAAATACTGGATTAAAGTGCAACAGTCTGACAGAACACCTGCTCTGTGCCATAGAGGATTTCCTAATCTCTCCACAGAGAAGCAGAAACACATGTAGCCACCATCAGGCATGCTTCTCTCGGAAGTCAGTGATGGCCTTCCAGAGCGTACACAGCATCCCTCCTCTGGAAAAGAAAAACCACAAAGATACTTAGCTATTATGAAATGGTTCCCACTTCAAAACATTAGCTATTCTTTGATTTTTCTGCAGCAGTACTAATAAGTTTCATTCCACTCAAAGACGGCAAAAAAACAAAATCAAAGTACTAAAATACAATTAAAAATAATTAAAAAGTAAATTCCTAAAAGATATTCTTGTTGATTTTATAAAGCAATCCCTCACTAACAATACACTGTAATGCACTAACTGTCCATAAAAATATAAACTAAATAAACTAAATAAAACTTTTAGCTGAAGTGATAATCGGGGCAAAAACTTTTGGTTTAGTTACAGGTACCATTTTTATTTAAATATGTTTGTGTAATTATAAGCTGCCTTGGTATGGTTATGCCGCAGTTTAGTTACATTGCAGCTGTATGACTTTACACAGTTTTCAGAAAGATTCTGTAATTTACTATTCTCAAAATGTTACATATTTTCTATGCATAATATTTGCTTATACAAAAGCAAGTATTCAGAGAAAAATATCTCAAGGCAATATGTTGCTGCTTTACTGTGCAAGATACATTTTCATAAACAAATCAAACTAAGACATTAAAAATTTTTTTTTTAATATGTGCTAGTATATTGTCAAAGAGTGCCTCAGTGACTTCAGTAATCCTGAATACTGTTTATTAGGTTTTATAGTATTCTTTTAATGTAAGAAGACCTTCAGAATATCAGTTACAATGTGCCACGAGCTATATTAAGCAAAATAACTACTATATTTCAGCAGTTTGCAATTAATTTAAATAATAGAATGGGGAGTACCTCAGTCTCAGGCTTTTCAGATCATCTCGTGTAACATAGCAGCGAACATCCGTTAGTGTATAGTTTTCTGCCAAGAACTAAAAAGAACAAGGTCCTTTCTGAAAGTTTCATCAGGAATATCAATTTATTTTATGTCACAATATTTACCTCAGGCATTTTAAAACCCAAGTTTTGAATTTAGAGTGAATAAAGGATTCGACCAAACTATGGTATCTGTATTGATTGATATGTTTAATGTTATTGCTTGGTTTATATAAGTACCGTATTTACACAAATCCAATCCACATGGGAGAAAAAGCCTAGTCTTGGATTTCACTACTGGCCTGGGGCAGACAGCGGCTCAGCTCAGGCTTTGGTCCCAGACCCCTGGTTTGAAGCTGGAGCTGAGCTGCCACCTGCCCTGGGCCAGAGCAGCCCATTTAGTAGGGGAGGGGACAGCCGCTGTGGCTGAGTGCAGGGGAGACAGGAACCTGCAGCCTGCCTTTCTATGCCTGCATCTGCTAGGCTGGCCCTGTTTTATACTGGACCATCCTGTTTTAAAACCCTTTGTCCCCCGTCTATTTCTGCATGAGGAATGGACTGCATAAAGTCCTGTTTTTCAGTTAATTGGTAGAAATAAATGTCAATTATTTGTCCTCACAATTCTATTAGCTGTGCTTAGAGGTAGGGTGGTGCACAGCCAGGAGGAGCAGGGTTCCCAGCTAGGGAGGGAAGGAGGGAAGAGAGAGGAGGAGCCATGGCTGCAGTGCAGGTGCAGGCATAGCAAGAATGGAGGCACTGCTGTGTGCCTGAGCATCTTGACCCTGGGTAGGCCTGGGCCCTGCAGCCAGGGCCAGGGCAGCTGATCTGCACATGCCCCCCACCCCCGCACCGCCACAAGGTAATGGTTTTGAGAGCAGGTAGTGGAGCGCTGCATTTGTATCTGCTGGAATGCCATTGGGACTGGAAGGAGGCTCTTGTCACCATCTTCGCGCCCACAAAGCAGCCAGCTAAGTCCCTGAGGTGTCCTGCTGTATGGGGTGGCAAGGCTTTGAAAAGAGGGACCTCCGGGCTCCTGGGCCAGCTCACTAAGGCATTGTTTCTCCTCTGGGACAGGCGAACCTGTCTGTCTCCTGGGGAAGAAAGGGACCCACTGGCTGCGCTGCCATAGGCATCCAATGCTCTATGACTCCACTCAGCCTAGCTCTGACCAAAATGTGACCAGGGCAGATTTCCAGGCACCAAGTGTATAATAATTACTTTTTATTAATTTGGTACTCATGAACAGAATTGCTATTGTCTGCATTCAATGTCATTAAAATTGCAAAATAAAAGAGAATTAATATTTTATTATAAAAGTCAGCAATAAGCCAAGGCCGATGCTATTTTCCCCATCTGTTTGTAGTGGCCTTGCCCCTTGCTACTGATTGGCAAAGAGGCCTGGTGGCACCACCCCTCACTGCTGATTGGCCAAAGTGGCAGCCCTACCCTTCACCACTGATTGGCCAAGGGGGTGGTCCCACCCCTCACAAAGGGGATTTTCTGTATTCTGGGGATGCATCAGTGGTCACCCTAAGCCTGTTACTCCACCTCCCTCCCCCCTTACCTCTGTTACAGCTCTAGTTCCTTGAGCCCCGACCCGGCTGGACTGGGAGGTGCCACTGCTTTTCCCTGGCTGGGCTGGGGCCACCGCTGCTGCCGACTGCTCCAGAGAAGCAGAGCTGCAGCAGAAGGTAAGGGAGGGGTGGGCAAGGAGTAGGGGGCAGGCCACAGGGGGTGAGGGAGGCAGGCAGCAAGGGGACAAGCATGGGGCAGGGGTCTGACCCCTGGCACCTCACCACTGCTTTCCCTGCTACAGCAGTGCAGGGGATGAATTTAAGATTACCTCCCCACCCCAAAATTAGACTCTATAAATGGGAAATTATAATAAATATATAATTTTGCATGTATAGAATCAAATTACTTGGGGGAGGGGGTTGTCTTGAATTCAAAGAGGTGTCTTGGGTTTAGGTAAATATGGTATATTTTGTCCATTTTATTTTTCATTTTTAACACAATATAAGTGCCTAATCTTTATACAGGATGTGGTTTATCTGCAGGGTACATTTACATTCTATAGTTACTCAGCTTTTCTGTTTTAACTGGCATTTTAATAGACTTCACTAATTTCTTCATTATCTGAGACATTAATGAATCGTCTTCAGTGCTCTTTAGTAACCAGTATAAGAATCATTTTAGAGGGGAAACAGAAACAGAGAGGCTGACACTGATGTTTTCAAAGGTGGCCCCTACATTTTGGTACTTCAGTTTCTGGGTACCTAACTTTAAGATACCTTGCAATGCAACTCCCACAGATGCTAAGCACTCACATCTCACTGAAGCCAGCTGAAATTGTGAGATAACAGCACTTCTGATTCTACTTCTTCACTGCAAAGTAGGTCTTTATTTTTGCAGCTCAATTGCAATCTCAATGTAAAATCACGGTGGAATCACAGTAGAGACCAGGCAAAGGTAATTTATTACCTCGAGGTTGAGGTCAAACTGTACTCTGAATCTGATGCTTAAGTTTAGCTGGAGGCCAGAAGCTGATGGCATTCAAAACAATGTTGAAAAATGGTGAACTTAAGCAATATTTTTCTTTCCTAGTGTGACAAATGCAATTGTGCCTTAGCTAGAGAGATGAATTACTACCCAAAGACTGTTTTTTATCATAATCTTTGCATTTTTACCTTTTCCCACACTTACACATGATCACATCTCCTTCAAAAATTGTTAAAATAATTCCAGGGTTTTGTTTTTTTTCTAAGTCCTATGAAAACTAGCACATTGCTGCCACATCATAAACTGAATAGAAAATAAAATTCCTACCCTGTTGATAGTGTCTTCATCTGCTCCATAAACTCTTAGCCAGTTTACAAGATCAGGGTCCTCAGACCCTGTGCCAGACAGATTAAGGTGAGCAACAGACAATCCAGGAATATCTAGAACAACATTTTGAGAAAAGATTAGGTATTTTAAAAGTGTTTGGTTGTTTTGTCGTTTTTTTTTTTTAAACCTCAGGAAATATTGTCCTCAGTGATCCCATTCTGTCTAAAAAAATCTGTCCCATGTTACCCTAATTGCTAACACCACTCAGATCAAATCCTGCACCATTTATTTAGGGCTTTATCTACACACAATTCTTATCTCAATTTAACTGTTATTTTTCTACTAAGAAGTAGTTAAAAAGTAGTACAAGCCCTAGTTTACATGTTTTTAGCAAAAGAAGTCCTATAGCAAGACATCCGATTCCTTTCCCAGAAAAGAATAAATAGGCCAGTACACTATACCATCTATATTTCAGCATGACTGCATCTGGGCTGGGTGGTTCTTCCGATTTAACTAAGCCATATACCTAAAGCTGTGCCATTGGTGTGTGCAAACAAGGCCTTAGACATGACCTATACTAACTTCAATAAAACTTTACCCAAGTAAGACTGCAGGATCTGTGCCATTTTTATAATACTAATTTTTTTAAGGGTTTCCATTTTGTTATAAAATGGATCCCATGTTAACACATGCAAGAACCACCACCCCTGCTAAAAATAAGATTTGTATTCTTACAGCTTGTTCAGTAGTGTCTCTATTTCTCTCTCCTCCCTCTCTCTCAAATATGGCCACTTTCCCACTAAGTCCTTTTCTCAGGCTTCCATTTTTTCTTTCCTCAATGCTCATTTGATGAACATATTGCTTTACGACTACATAGAAAGGGATTCTTCAGTTTTGTATCAATTTACAGTGCTGCTGAATCAGCCAGTAACATTGCTGCTACACTCTCTGCTCCTTTTCCAAGGAAAATGTATAACTGTATCAATTCATACGTTGCAGCCTCATATACAGGGTGAAATTCTGGCCTCATTGAAGCCAGGGACAAAACTCCCATTAAGTTCACAGGGCTGGGATTTCACCCACACTAGATGACTATCATGTACCTAATTAAAAATTTAGAATTCTGGTTTGTCACCTCTAAGACCACCAAATTCTCTGTTCACCAAATAGCTGTTATTAGTGTGTTCCTCGTGTGTCTGAGGACCAGCCACTGACAACCTCAGTCTCTCAGACTTCTTGTATCAATTCCAAAGCATTTTCAGCTTTTGCCTGTAAGAGACTACAGGCAACCCCTGCTTAACACTGTTTTGCTTAGCACCATTTCGCCATAACGTTCATTTAAAATTGATACCCGATTTCACTTAGCACTCAGGGAGTTTCGTTATAACGCTCACAGTCACCATCTTCGGTCATTAAAAACAATTGCGTTGCCATCTTGGGTCGTCAATACTTTTGGTTTTGCTTAACATTCGTTTCGCTTAACACTCGGTTTTTCAGGAACCAATTAAGAGTGCTAAGCAGGGGCTGCCTGTACACACAACTCTGCAACTTAATTTCACATAACAAGCTTTAGGGCGTGTTTATATTTTTTTAATACGACAATTAGAATAGTTTATTAACTCAGTGAACATACATATATGCAATGCAACTAAGTCTGAAATTTGGAAAAAAACACTTAAAATTAAAGAAATCAAGCAAGGTAAGACCCCCCCGTGTTCTCCCATAACGTATAACCCAAAGAAACAAAATTTATGTCGATTGCACGTGGTCTTACTTCAAATCAGAACCCCCCTGTGAGAAACATGGTAAAAAGCCTTTTTGGACACAGGGACAGCAACATTTTAATAGTTTGACTTCTACATTCTTTGTAGTTAGTTGCCTTATAAGCCAGTTCCTTTAGAAATCTCTACTCATACAGTTACCTATTGGCTGTGACTTTAGCTTCAAGTTTTTGATCTCTTGATTCCTTTCTTCTATAGCTTGTTGTAAAAGGACTTGGAATTCTCTCTCCTTCTGAACTAACTCTTCCAGCAGCCTGCAGAGAAAAGGCAGTAGAGATTTTCTTAATTTAAAGTTGTATTCAGAGGGAAGCCAATATCAAACTAGTAGCACTGGAAACTAGGATCACCATAGTGATATTTGAAATATCCATAACTAATTATGAAACTTAAGTGACAATAGACTTTTGCACCCTTTGCTAATACATTGGTTAAAGATTTATAATAGGAATGTAACTATAATACATGGTTCTTAAAGCTGCAGCATTTCAATAAAACTAGCTTTCAACATTTATACTAAACAGAAGCTTCACAGTAACTTTCAATAAAGTTTCACCACAGCATTCCCACTTATAAACTCAGATTGGTCCTAAAGAAAAAAACAAAACAGCCAGGAGGAAGTGATTTGCAGGGTCAAGGGTCAAAACCAGGAGAGGACACCAGGCTTGCTGAAACTTTGAAACATAAACTTTTATAGGGCATACTACAAGGTATACCCAACTCCAAAAGGAGTCTGTGAAGATAGTAATCATAGTGGCAGACACAGGAGGTCAGGAAGTGTAGTGGGAATATAGCGATGTCTACAATTTTGGAAGTGATGGCAAATCTAGCTTGACTCCATTCCTCCACTCAGAGCGCAAAGCCTAGTACTGGGCCCCGAAGTGGGAAGATGAGGAACAAACTTTTTAAATCTTCTCCTAAGACCTAGAGGATTAGGACTTTAGGTTTAGGATTTAGTTTAGAGAGGTCTTCAGTAGCTGACTTCATGACATTTGTGAGCACACATATTATGTTATAATACAACTTAGTGCTGAAAGTCCAATGGAGCTTCTGTATAATCTCTTTTCATATTGCAGCAAAAAGGAAAATGAAACCATTCAAAGGCAACAGAGCTTAAATTGATAAAAGGAAATAACTCCATCAAAATGCAGAATTTAAATATGAAAATTATTGCCGCTATTTATTATTTCCATACTTTCTTGCACATAACACACCCTGTGTATAGTGCACACCTTGATTTTCAAGGGGAGTCTGAAGGAAAAAAAAGATTTTTGACTGAGGTAAGTAAGCTACAGCAGCTAGGGAGCTAAGCCTGCTGCCAGCCCCATGCACCAGGTGGGCCTCCAAACTAACTTGGCATGTTGGGTCCAGGACTGCATGCTGGGTCTGATCCTATGCACCAGTTGGGGAGCCAGATTTTGGGTCTGACCCCAGGGTAGCAAGCCTGGGACTGTACACTGGGCCCAGGGCTCAGAAGCCACATGCTACATCCAACCCGATGTGCTGGCTCCAGAGCTGCATCCCAGTTGTGAACCTAGTAGGCAACCCTGAAGCTAATGCATGGTCGACTTGTAGCACCAGGTCTCACCCAGCACACAGTTCTGGACTTGGCACGCCAGGTCTGAACTGGCATGAGGCTCCAGAGCCAGTGTGTGGGGTTGGCCCTGCCATGACAGGTCAGGAGCTGTATGCTGGATTGGACTTGGACCCTTGGGTCCAGATGCAGACCAACCCCACAAGCTGGCCTGATCCGGTGCAGACTGGGAAGGGGCTTCCTACATGTCTGTAAATTTGGGGAGGGAGGGGCAAGGGGGTTGTGGTACAACTGTTAATTGCCATGGCTCCCAGAGCTACAGCAATTAATGCTCCCACTGCCCAGTCTCCCACCCCCTGCCAAATTTCTGGAACTGTGGAAATTCCTTTTCCACACATATAATATGCACCTTAATTTTCCCCAGCTGGTTTTAGGTGAAATGGTGTAGTTTATATGCAAGAAAATAAGGTACATCAGTGTGGATATATGCACTTATGTCTTACAGTAGCTAAGATGTAAAGAAATATACATTTTATGATTTAGGACATAACTTTACAACCAACTTCTGGAGCTTAGAAAAAATGTCCCCTGTGAATAAATTAGAGCATTATCATGATTTAACAACTCCAGTTGATACAGAATGATGGATAATATGGACCACTGTTCTTTTTTAGTACGATAATTACTTTTTCTACCTCCTCACTGTACATACAATTTATTCTTCACCTGTTTTTCTGCACTGAAATGTATATCTATGACCATTTAAGTAGTCAATTACTTTCTGCCCTGGAAATGCCAGCTGCATGCTGCTTACGCTAACAAAGCTTAAAGTAATGCAATTATCCATGTTATTAAGACACATTTTCCATGGAACGTATGACAGGTGGTATTTTGGTACCTAATTCTGACCAAAGGTTGTTGTTTTCACATAAAAGAAGAGACACTATGGTGTTCAAGGCTCATTTAAAAAAATTAAAAGCAGAAAACTGTTAGAATTGAATAGATCATTTACCTCCTCTTAGATAGAAGGGATTCAAGCTTTATATATACAACATATTTGCTTATGTTGCCACTCCTCATAAACCTGGGCAATAAAGTTTGACTGGCTACAATGGCTCTTTTATTTCTTTACTGACTAGACATTTGGGTGGAGTGAATACTGTGCCAGCAACTTCGAAGTATATTGTTTTTTGCATTTCTCAAATATTCATTTAGGGAAAGCTGATTACTTTAAGTTGTAATATAAATAACTCAGAAACTCTATCTGTGCTCCAAGAAAACAGTACAGAACTGTTCTCCCAACCTGTAATTGAGCCAAATTACACTGAGGTTTTTTTTTATGCACTTGGAAAGCATAATCATCTAACATTTTAATTTAAGTACAAGAACTAAGAATAATCCATCTCAACTAAGAATAATCCAGCACAATAATATATAAACAACTATAAATATGTAGGCATTTTTGCAAGTAGTCTAGAAATCTGTATATTGGATCCTACTTATTTTTGAAACATGAAAGTCTTTCTGTTCTCCATCTTTCTCTGACAGACCAAATCTATTTTATAACAATTCAGCTGTAGGGCTTGATTCTGTATTGATGCTGTAGTGAGTTCTGCATGCAAAGCCAGAACAATGACCAGACCAGGCACAGTTCAGTTGTGCAGTGCAGCTGTTTAATAGCTTGGATTTTTTCTCTGGGACTAACAATAGAAAAGAATGGCAAGTTCTGTGTTTATGAAAACAAAATGTGTAGTCCCTTAACCATTAAGCAGAAAGGCAGAAACAGCAGGACTTTGGCAACTGGATTGATAAAGTAAGTTTAAAAAAAAGGAGCACACCTGAAAACATTCATTCATTTTTCATGTATTATATGACAGTAACTAACAGTAATATAAATTTTATGGGTTTAACACATGTAAAGTCATAAATTACTTATTACAGTCAATTACGTAAGCCATAAAGGGTATTCTGGGATACCTGAATACTTTAATATCCTGAAGTAACTTTTTAAGAATGAAACAAATGCAATGGCCATTATAAATACTCTGGTCCTTGGAAGTTAAACTTACCTATTTGTTTCTAATTTTAGCCGCCCTAATTGCACATTCAGTGATCTATGAGCAGCCTGGGAATCATGGGATACTGTTGAACTGAGTGTGCTCACACCTGAGGTAGCTATGGCATCTTCCATGACAATGCAAGGCCGTTGAACAGTTTGATTGTGTGGACGTTCATCATGATCTTCATCCACTTCTATGTCATCCTGATCTGCAGTATCACTTTCAGAGGCAAGACTAAAATGTGGCCTCAGTTCTATTAGAAAAACAATATTTATTATTAATACTCCACAATAATAAAGTCTTAACGTAATTATAGATCATCCCACAGCTTTAAGCCATACTTGAAGCATCTGTAGAAAAAGGTTAAAATTGTTTTTCCAAAGGCTTTAAGCGCTCAAAAACTTCTTCAATGGCCTAGTACATTTGAATATCATTTGGTTTATGCTATTCATTTAGTTTCCAACCAGTAAAAATTTGCTCTAAAAGGATCCAAATTCCCACCCCCCCAACCAAAGCAGAACTCCTTTGAGATGCTCCATAGAGCTACATAAAAGCAAGCAGTTAAGGAGCAATGTTTGTTCAAAGCCTGCAATACACACAATGCACATTCATTTAGGATAGTGATTCCCAAACTTTTTGGGCCAGTACACCACTGTCAACCAGCAAACTTTCTGAATGACTACCACATACCTGATCATCAACTGTTTAATTAAAAATGCTATGAATGTCTGCCAGGCCTGGTGCAAATGTGGGCCCCTTACTACAGGAGGGCCTTGCAGACCATCACTGATTTGAGAATCAGGTTGCTAAGAGAATCAGGTTGCAGAGGGGAGCAGGGGTGCAGGAGACAGAGAGCGAGTGGGGTGCCAAAATATAGGCACAGGCATGGAGGGCCAGCTGGCAGGGGACATGGTTGGGGACAGGCAATGGGGGAACAGGCACAGGCATGGGAAGACAAGGAGCAAGGGGCAGGAGCTAGCCTCTCACCCCTCACTGCTGCTTTCCCAGCCACAGCCATGTGTGAGGACAAACTGAAGACGGCCTCCCACTAATTAGGTACTATACATGGAAAAGTATAACAAATTTATGAATTGTTCATGTATCAAATCTAATTATTGGGGGGGTCATCTTAAATTCAAAGTTGTCTTGGATTTGAATAAATACAGTAGCTGTAGCAATTGTGAATAATAGATTGACTTGTATGGAGCTTTTTGCCACATGTTGGGCAGCTCAAAGCCTGTTCCTTGTAATGCTTTTGAGCTTGAGGGTTGCCAAGTTCTTTTGAGCTCTCTTCATCACTCAAGAATGGGTGCTAAGCATCTGGAAAATCTGGTCCTAGAAATGGACAAGTATCCAATTATTAGTCATCATGTTGTAACATCCTGCTTTATGTATCCCAGAAAGATGCAATCCAAAACACCTTGGGCAGCTGACCTGCAAATATTTGATTTGTGACTTAGCTAATGAATGTATCAAAAACACTGCAGAAGGTCAGGACAGGTTTCAAAAGCTTTAGCTATGATCATGATGATCATAGCTATGAAACACTTAAGAGATCAGATATTAAATGTTTGCTGACCAAAGAGTAACTCACCTGGGACCAAAATAGTAATAGCAGTCTGCACAGCTTTTCGAATTATGCTGTCTAATGCAAACATCCAGTGTGGCTTAATGTTGTGATTTCGGAGAACTTTATTGACCTGTAACAGAGAACACAGTTCAGAAATCTTACCTCTGCATCCTAAAACTGCATAAAATGTTCCTCTGATATTAAGCATTTAAGTTCAGCTAGCCTATATCAAGAACAAGGTTCTCTTTGTTATTGCCTTTTTCATCTTACTTTTTGGCCCAATCTACCTGTTCTGAGCTGGTGGTGGTAGCTCAAAAAAATATAACCTCTTATGTCTACTGGCATGGTCCTCCCCTTGGTTGTAGATCCTGTGGTGCTGCCTTCAAAACTTGTCTCTCAACTAGACACATAGAAAGGCTTATGGACCCTTTGGGCACATCCACGCAAGCACGTATGTACACTTTGACTGCAAAAGGCACCCCATGCATGTGATAGGATTCTCTGCACTGCGTATTTGCAGCACAGAGCCAAATGGGAAAAAACAAGTGAGGCAATACATGTGGCAGCAGCACACACTGCCCAAAACCAGAACCTGGCCAGAGCCACATTTCGGTGCCAGCCAGGCTCCACATGCCCGGATCACAGCTGCTGCAGCCCCAGGAGGCCCCCAGGACTCTAGGCAAGGCTGCTGGGACCGGCCCAGCTGCTGGCCCCAGCCTCCCCTACCTGACCTGAGGCAATTTGCCTGGCATCAGAGCACACATGCAGGGGCACTCCCCAGAGATAAGTAGCAGCAGCACAACTATGTGCCACTGATATCTGTACCCAGTAAAATGCATTTGCATGCTTGTCTGGACATGCTCTTTGAGGGAGAAAGCGAGGATGTAGCTAGGATGGTGGATAATTCTAAACTTTGCAATAACCAAAATAAGTTAAGATAGTAGCCAACAGATGTCACAAATGACAACTCTGACCAAGCCAGAAGGGCGGAAAGGAAACCCAACAAGAGCAAAACACAAAAGAACAAACAAATCCAGTAACATTTTTGGAAAGACATGTTAAATATTTATAAGCTTATTTTAATAAAAATCCACAAAGGACTTACAGAACAAACTTCTTGGTGGAGGCTAACAAAGGTAAAATATTAACCTCTCTGCTCAGTTTTCATTATGAGGGAATTGTGGAAGCAGGGTCAGTTTAATTTTCTCACGTGAAAGTTGCTATTCTTTCTATATAAAATAACTAATGTTATACAGATGATGTCATCTTTTGAGAATGGATAGAATTTTAAATGAAAATGTTTTCTATCACTTTCCAAAGGCAGCCACAGTAACATGTTAAATGTAGAAAGCAGATTAATCTATACTTTCTTATTTTTTTAAATGGCCACTAGATGGCATTTTGTTACACTGGAAGAGATTTGTCAGCAAGCTAAATGCAAGCTATCAAAATATGCTCTGCTGGTAAATAAGCCCAGGCTCAGTCAGGAAAGATGCTGAGCACCTCTTGACAGGCATAGTGACTCGAGAGAGGTGTTGAGGTTGGTTCAGCTTGCCACAATATGCTCAGTTCTGGAAGGGCTGTGTAATGTTCAAAGTGTTTACAAAGGTGTTCATAGCTTATCTCAGTCCTGAAAAACACAAATGTCCAGGGTACCGTGACTAAGCTATTTAGAATACAAAAAATTTTTTTCTTCTCAGCTGCTTTGATAAGGATATCCCGAGTATGAGACCTTATTACCCACGAGGCAAAAGGAGCTAGTTTTCCTCATTCTAAACAACATCCTGATTTCAGGCGTACTGATGTTTTTTCAGGAGTCCTGAGACCTAGATATAAGCTGTTTTTTTCTGTTGTAGAATTCTGATAGAGCTTCATACTTCTGATGAGAGCTGTTTGGAAATGCCAATCAACAGAGACCAAACAAGGTGTTCAAAGCATCTTGGGTTCAATTAATTTCCATGGAATCAAAGGCATGTAGTTTTAATGGAATTTCCCCCAGAAGTCTGGGGGACTCCTCCAGGGGCAGGGACTTGGAAAAGGATGGCTTCTGACATGCTGGGAGAGTTCATGGGCAGGGGGACAAGGGGTGGAGGGAATGTGAGGTCTGCGAGAGACCTGGTTCCTGAAAGTCCAGGCAAAGGCTCTTAGGGCCCACTTCCAAGGCAGCCTGTGCAGGAGGCCTGCCTGGTAGACCACTGTAGCTGCTCAGTAAAATTTGTATTTTTTTTTTCAGTTTTGCTATTAACAGCAGCTGCAAAACTGAGAAGAATGCCATTTATACTGAGAAGCTGGGAGCATATATTGCTTTGGAAAACTTGTGTTTTACTTCCAAAACAAAATTCTCTCCCAATTTCCTGCTCATTGGGAACTGCTTTAAAAAAAAAGAAAAGTATTGGTCTGCTTGGGCCTCATATAAAATTTCAGAAGGGGGGGAAAAAAAAAAAAAAGTCTTCCACAGACTGAAATCCATTCTTTCTGGGAATGTGATCTACATGTGATATCAAGCTTACTGCTATATGGGGAAGTTCTTCATGTGATATAAAATTTACTGCAGTTCATTAAACTTTCATACTGTTCAGTGATTAGTATGATCATAAGTTAGATTCAAGGTAGGAAAAGGCCTCCTGCTTGGTATTGATTTGAATATCTGATATGAAGATTTCTGACTTTGCAAGTGATTACTGCTTCAGCCTGGACTGTAAATTAACAAAATAGAGAGCAACAGGAGGACACTCCTGGTAAAAACTCATAAGTTCCAGAAGACCTTTATACAGTGCCTTTACTTTACATACTGGTTGCTATCACGTGGAATCTAAATCTGTGCTGACTTATACCCTGGATCAGTGGTGCCCAGTCTGTGGCTTCTTGGCCTGATCCAGCCCACAGAGCTGTGTCATCTGGGTTGTGGGACTGCTCATGTGTTTAGGAATTTGGTAGCAGGGGAGTGGTAGTGGGGCAGAGTTGCCACCATTCCCTGCAAGGCAAGAGGCAGCAGCCCCAGGTTCTCCCTTTTGGGAGGGTAGATGCAGAAATGGCTCCTGCCCCTCGTTGGCTGACCACACTGCGACCACTGGCACAGCAGCAGCTGGAGCTGCCAAGTGTGTTATGGTTGCTTTGGGCATGAAGGTGCCCTGTTACACCTCTGGTGAGTCTCAGAGGCAGATGACACAGCTCCATGTGCCAGATCAGGCCAGTCTGCAGGCATGATCTGCCCACAGACTGACTTCATGCCACTTATCTGGCTCCTGGTTCCAGTTGGGTTGTGCACCACTGCGCTAGTCTTCACCTGCTCCCAGATACTCCCAGGGTTAAATACTCTGGAAGTCATATGCTGAACAATCTTCATTTGTCTCCATTTCATTTTGACCTCACAGATCCAACCAGGGCATAATGATACAAAACAAGGTCAAACCTTCCCCAGTGTATTATTATTTTTAACCTGACATCATATAAGACAATTTTGTTCCATTAAGATGGAGGTTAGTAAGCAATGAATGCAACTCATTTAAATGCTCATCTCTGAGATAAAAACATGCTGAGTAACCTGGGTGTCTGAATGGACCCTGTTTAAGTATCCTGTTTATCACTGTGGATAACTGCCAGTTTACATTAGTTGCTGACACACAGTTTGGGGTGATGTTTTGAAAAATAATACAATCTATTTTCTTTTTGTTTTGCTATTTCACTTATAAACAAATTGAAACAGACATATTTGGCAGAATTTCCATATTGACTACTGAATGTTAAAACAGGACTACTGTGACAATATTGTGAGCTAAATGGGCTTCATTTTTGTGCACTTTACTAAGCTGAGTAAGTCCAAGAAACTGTATCCATTTAGCATAATTATTTAACTCAGTTTTGAATTTATTTGCAATAAAAAACACAAAGGTGAGATATTTTTTAGGCTTTTCCATTTGAGGATTGTGGTGTAATATTTACATACCTATGTTTCTTTCCTACTGTTTCTTATTGAAAATAAATAACTGTAGGGTGGGGGGGAATAAATTTAAAAATAGATGCTATGGGCAAAGTACACTTGCTGCCAAAAAGATCACATAGCAGCCAAGCCAGGAGATGGCTACAGGCTGACGGCTCTGATTTTCATTATCAAATCTTGGAAGCCTGAGTGGTTCTCATTTTATGAAGCAAATGAGATCAGAGAAGTTCCATTTGCTTATGCCAGGCTTTAATTTAATCCTTTTACTAAAGACTTTGTATGGCTAAGCACATGAAAGTGCCTACTTACAGCATCTTGAAAACCAAACAGCACCAGCTGGACCTGGCTAATACCATGGCTGTCAAAGTCTAACTCCAGTTTCAGTTTTGAAAGAGTTGTTGCAATGATTTTGCGATCAGTTGACCTTACAAATTCTCTGAGGCTAGCAACAAGAGTTGCAATGTGCTCCCACTTCAGCTTGGGTTCCTCAGCTCCCTAGCGGAAAAACAAAAAGGAAGAAAAAGTTAGAGAACATATACCTCTTTAATTTTTTATTTAATGATTTTAAATGAGTTAAGGATGCAAAATAAAGAATCCTTGCTCTCTCAACGCTCTGGAAAGTTTACCCCTTAGTGTACCTACAGCTCATACACACAGACCCAAGTTAGCTGTAAAATAGCTAGCTTGGCACTGCTACAAATGGGCTAACTGACTGACCATCTGTTCTTGCCTGTAAACTAAAATCCATGTTGCCACAACTGTGGTGCTAAAACACCCCAAGCTAGCTAGTTTAAAGCTAGTTTGAGTCCACTTATGAAAACTGCACACACTAAGACTACACCTTTAATAACCAAAAGGTTAAGTGCTACAGTGGCCTGATACCTTTGGAGCAAGTAATATGTTCCAGTATAAAATATATGGGAAATAAATACCCCCATGCCCATTAAACCTAAAAGGTCTGGAGAATGACCTATGCAGTGGGACCACTAGAAGGTAAATCCGTAGTTTAGCATTTAAAGTAGGAATTAGCACAAAGGATTGGTACGGAGGTCTCTGTAAGAGGTGAATTTCCTCTTTAGTCCTTAACTTAAGCAGAAGATTTACCCCAGTATGAAGCTTTTCCACTATCTGTTATAAGGCAATATTTGGTAAAAGTAATTGGAAGTAGTGACAGAAGATTTTTCATTTGCTTTCTAAATTTTTGTTATGTCAGGTAAAATTAAAGTTAAATTTGAGAGAATAAACATCATGATTGCTTCTTTCTTTTTATGATATTTGCTCTTCTTGTGTTGTGGCATTAGAGCTAGTCAAAACCAGGATTCATAGATTCTAGGGTCAGAAGGGATCTCAGTGGGTCATCTAGTCCGGTCCCTTGCCCCTGGCAGGCAAGAAAAGGGTCACCAAACCTAGGATCATGTGATCCCAGCCAAGTGCCTGTCCAGTCTCCTCTTGAAGATCCCCAAGGATGGGGCAAGCACCACCTCCCTTGGAAGCCCATTCCAGATCCTGGCAACCCTAACCATGAAGAACTTTTTTCTAATGTTTAGTCTAAACCTACTCTCCAATAGCTTATGGCCATTGTTCCTTGTTATTCCAGGGGGTGTCATCACCTACTTCGTGTTGCTCTCCCCTTATGAATTTGTATGCTGCCACAAGGTCCCCTCTCAACATTCTCTTGGAAAAGGTTTAGGGGTCCCTTAGCTTTTCTCGTAGGGCCTTCCCTGCAGGCCTCCAATCAGACAAGTGGCTCTTTTTTGTACCCTCTCCAGGTTGTCTGCATCCCGCTTGAACTGCGGCATCCAGAACTGGACACAGTACTCCAGCTGCGGTCTGACCATTGCCACATAGAGAGGGAGAATTACCTCCCTGGACCTGTTTGTGAAGCACCTACGGATGCACAAGGTGCGATTGGCTCCGCCGACTACTTCATCACATTGGCGACTCGTGTTCATCCTGGAGTCAACAGTGACTCCAAGATCTCTTTTTGCCTCAGTGGTGCTGAGAAATTCATCACCCAGCCTATAGGTATGATGGCAGTTTTTTTCTCCCTAGATGTAGCACCTTGCATTTGTCCCTATTGAATTGCATCCTGTTGCTCTCTGCCCACTTCCCCAACCTGTCAAGGTCAGCCTGGATCTGGTTCCTCCTCTCCAGGGTGTTAGCTTCACCCCAATTTTTTTTGTCATCTGCAAATTTGGACAGGGTGCTTCCCACCCCCTCATCCAGATCACTGATGAAGATGTTGAACAGCACCGGCCTCAGAACTGAGCCCTGAGGGACTCCACTGCCCACATCTTTCCAGGTTGACAATGACCCATCCACTACCACCCTCTGAGTGCAACCCCTGAGCCAGTTTGCTGCCCAGTCTACTGTATAATCACCCAAGGCAAATCTCCTCAGTTTATTAATAAGGATGGTATGGGATACTGTGTCAAAGGCCTTTTTGAAGTACAAATAGATAACATCCACCTCGACTCCTGCATCTAAACATTTGGTGGCCTTGTCGTAAATAGAAACTGGATTAGTCAGGCAGGACCAGCCTATTATAAACTCACGTTGGTTGCCCCTCTGCATCACACTGGATGTTTCTCAACCAAAAATGCGTTGAGGCTGTTTGAGTTCTTTCTCCATTGGAATGAAATCAAACCCTACTTCCAAATCTGAGTGAAAGAAATAGACCAGTCTCAGAATAGCTAACAGCCCCCTGGTTTTGACATTTGCTTGGTATAGGAGAGAACCTTCCTTCAAGCCCCTATTGTCAGATCTGGAGAATCCACTCAACTGTCAGCTCTTATAGGGTTGTGCTTGCTCTCTCCTGTTGGAGATACTCTACTTTGTATGAATAATATTCATTAGTCTACAGAGAGAAACTCACTAGCTTGGTGGCTAGGGCATTCCAAATGAAGTAGACCAAGGATCTGTTGGCCCTTCTGGAATAGATCTATCATTCCCCATTCTCCTTTCTGAAGAAAAGTTTAACTGAGACAGTTTAACTGAGACAGTTTAACTGTATTTTCATGAAAAAGTTATTGTTTTGGCAAAGAAAACCCCCGAAACCTTGTAAAAAACAAAAAAAAGGTCCTGATCAGCTGTAATGGATACGCTAATTGTCTGAGACCAGACTTCACTTTGTCTTTCTCTTGTGGGAAGCTGGCCTCAATTTCCCTTTTACACCACCCATTGTCATTCCTCAGATGGAGGTTTGGTTTTGAGTGTTTATACACACACTCTGGGAGTGGGGGGCACAGGTGCTTTAATTAGAGAGGCTCCAAGAGCTTTAGGTAAACTGTCCCCACCACCATTTTTAAGCACGGGGATACTAATACATGAGACGCTGGAGTCTGCTGGAGTGCAGTAATTACCACACTCTAGCAGACTTGATTAATTGAGTCTGCTCCGACACACTGTTATTACAGCATGTCAGAGCAGCCTCGCTGCTTGTGTATAGGCGCCCATTGATACCGGCTTTCCCTTCCAGAGCAGCAAACAACTTGGTGACTCAGGAGTCTTGACCTTATCCAATGGTCATAAAGTGGTACTTAGCTGTGTTAGTCTTATCCAATGGTCAGCAGGTCTTATGTCTTTGGGCAGGGTGCTCAGTGCCTAGCCTATAGGCCATACTCGGCCCATGGACCAAGTAATCCAGCCTGTGGGGCCTCCCCTTATCAAAAAATTTGGAGGTGGTGGAGCAGTAGCAGCATTGATTGGCCCTCCTCTGCTGCCAAATGTCTGGACCTGTGGGGAGCCCCGCAGCCTGAATAACATGGCTCTGTGTGCTGGATGACACACACAGCGTAGCATGGGGGCTGATTCAGGTGCACAGGGCAGCATGGAGCCTGATCCCAGTGTGTAGCTGGGCCAAGGCATCATGGGACTCAACAGGAGTGTGTAGTGCCAGGGCTGGGGTGATGTGGGCCCAATCCAGGCATGCCAAGCTAGATGAGGTTGGCACAGGCTCAATTTTGGCACATGGAGCCAGGCCAAAATAGTGTGGGACTTGATTGGGGCACAGGGTCCAGATCTAGGTGGGGGTAGCACAGGCCCGACCTGGGTGCACGGGGCCAAGCAGGGGTCATATGAGCCTTATGTAGAGAAGCGGGGGCAGGCGGCATGGGGCCTGATCCAGCCTGTGGTGCCAAAGGATTGAGCATTGCTGGTCTGTGGGATTCAAACCCCTTAACTCTTCATATTTAGCACTCATTTGTTGTGGGATACTGAAGGAACCCGAGATCTTGAACAAAGCAATTTGAGTTTGTTCTCCTTACCCCTTTACTGCTTCCTACCACACCTCTCTTGAAAGCTGTTTCCCCTCACCTGCGTTCTGTGGTCTACACTCTTGGCTGCTGGGTGGTTCTTCAGCAGGCAAGTGCTAAAAGATACTCCTCTCAGAACCTCCCTCCTCTAAATGAAACCATCTTATCCCTCCAACTGTTTCAGGCATAGCAATTAGTCCCAGTTGAGGAGGTAGTTTAGGGGCCAGTATAGCATAGGGTACATCCATACATTACAGTACCCTACATTACATAGGGTACATCCATACATGTATGGATGTACATCTATACATTATGTTTCACGAATTCTTTCCATATGTAATAATTCAGTTTTGTCATTTTATATTGTATTATTTTGTTCTTTTATATTATACTTTAATAGTGGCACTTTTAAAAAAAACAGCAATGCCCGTCTGGTTTTAGCTTCTCCAGTTTTTGACCCTTTGATATAAGTGTTTGATGATCAATTTTTACCAAGACCTAAAACCTTATCGTATTGACATGGCACCAGTTTCTCACCAAAACAGTAGTACTAAGAATCTAAGAACAGTATATCAAGCAAATATACACTAGTTTTATCTCAAATGTGGTAGTTTTAGACACTAGACTATTAGGGAATATATTTTACATACAAATTTATACTCAGCCTTGCAAGTTATAAAGTTAGGTACAGACTACACAAACAAACAAAAACATTACATCCTCTGACCACTGTGTTGCAACATCCATAGCATGGTGATATGTCATTTATTCCATGTTATCATTTACTGACACATCTCAATGAATCACCACAAAGTAGTGTTAATATGTCATGCTGTAATTATTTTGTGGCTTTCTGCAGCTCCATCTGATACTCATCTCTCCCTTTCCACCTCTGCTCCTAACTGCTGTGAAGCATACGGCTATTTGTTTTCCAACTTACTCCCTTTTAATCTATTTTTTACCTGTTTGAAAGAAATGGAAAGATATTCTGGTGACTCCAGTTCTATTTACTCAGCATTCTTGCAGGAGGAGCATGACATAAGAACAATTTAGGCAAAGGAACTCAAGCCAGACTCATGGCTTCATAAAGGACTTTTGTAACTTTAGAACAACAGGTTAAGTAACAGTGGCTAATATAACGATCAGTCTGTCAGCACTTTTGGAGCTGACTGACTGTCATTATATGCACTAACCCAGCATCCTTTATTGCTTCAAAAGTATTGGCAAAAACAATTGTGAAAACATCTATGTTTTTTATTCCATTGCCCAACTAGTTTTAATAACCGCACAGACAGCTAAAGATAAAAATACATATGCACTACTGTGCAAATATTGTTTTGTACATTGTTTATTATCCTCAGTAAAACTGCAGGTTCTGAAGGCCTACCTTTGAGCCCAATGGCTCTTTTAATATATATATTAAATATATAACCTGATGGCTGTGTGTGTGTGTGTGTGTGTGTGTGTGTGTGTGTGTGTATTTTGCTGACTTCAAGTAAATACATCTCTCACACACGCACATACACACACTTGCTTGAAACCTGTATTTCAAGTGACCTTTGTCAGTGTGAAAGTTATTTTACCTGAGCTAGGGCTTCCATTAAGTTCCTCACCACCTTCTCTTGGTCTTCTGTCAATATTCGGTGGAGGGTTGCCCTGCGTTCACTGTCCTTTTTCAACATAAAAAATCCAGAATCCTTCTCTTCTGGTGAAGGAGGAGCACTATGATCCTCAAAGTTCTCATCTGGGATGCTGAAAAATTTACACAGTAAAGATAAATGCTGCTATCATCTTCTCCCTGCACCACACATTCTTAATCCAGAAAGTAACTGGAAAACCAAGTCGGCTTTTTACCTCAAAAAGAGGGACCTGATTCCTTTCACATCTTTTTCTCCACAGGATTTAGCTCTTGTCTTGAAAGCAAATGGATCAATTTTTAAGTCTGTATCAGGTGAAACAGAACCATATTCACTGCTACTGCTTGTATCTTCCACCACAACGGGCACAGGCAAAGATATGCTCCGAAGATACTCTATACATAAAGGAACAATGAGAACACTAGTGTTTCAAAAGCATTTCAAAACGTCTGTAATGCACTGATTACTATCTCCGTTTTGAAAACAAAATGTGGTAGTTTTATGACCGAGTGAACACAGGATTTTCACTACATCAACACAGTTATATACTTCAAGAAAAAAGGTTTAAAACTCACCATTTGAGTTAACTGAAAGAGCTGTGGAGGAAAAACAAAGAAAAATATTGAACTATGGTAAATTAATTGGACAAATATTGCATAGAGAATAAATTCTCATTCTTACTGCTTGATATTATCTGGATTGTAATTTGTCCTTAGACTCAGAGTTCAATTTAAAAAAGCCATGATTTTTTTTATTATTTAAACTGTTTTTTTAAAAAAGGTTAACATAATAATAACACTACTTTTTATTTGAGCTTTCTTGACAAAATATGTGTTTTATAAAACAAAAAAGCATTTTTTAACATTTAAAGAAATATATCATTTATGCTGTCAAAGTCACCAGCATTGCTCCACAATCTAATATGAAATAGACATGTAATCTCCAAATTAATTCTATATACAGCAGCTACAATATGAACATTTATCTATGCAAATTAGGCTTTAAGTTTCACACCTTTTCACATTTCTACTAATGGTCAGCTTTTACAGAAACTAGTTTTATATGTGCTTAAATATTTCTAGATAAAAATAAAAAAAATCAAAGATTTAAAAAAAGTGTGCTTTTATTCATTTACGTATATTAATATTCAACTCCTATGCTGGATTACTAAATACATGGTGCTAATTAAATAAGAACATATACACAGTTTATAGGAACTGTCTAAGGGTTTCTAGGCGGTATACAAAACACTTAAATTTATCTAAAACTTGTTTCTGCCAGTGGTAGTAACAGAATTCTACTGTTAGAGGCTTGCAAACCACAATTCAAGAGAGATTTATTATTGCAGATTCATCGAGGAGATATGTTCCTTGAGTCTTACAATCAAGAGGTTACAATCAATCATTATAAAAATCAGCCTCACGATTGGAAGTAAAAAACTACCAAATCTGTCCCCACAGTTTATTACCTGACAGTTTTGGCTGAGACTTTCTTTTTTTGCTTGAAACTTTTAAGAACTCATCTACAAGTAGCTCATGAGCAAAGGCTCGCTTGTTTGGGTCTGGTTCAAAGCAACGCAGGATGAAGGCTTTAGCCTCTGCTGACATGGAATCAGGAATCTCCGGGTGTATTTTAAACATTCCCACCTAAGAGAAATGAAATAAATGAAGTGGTCCAAGTGGTCTTTCCGTGCACATTTTGTTATCAGCTTTTGGTCGAAGATGACTAAAGCCTCTGTTTTAAAACCCTGTAAAATCTATAAAATAGGGTCATTACTAATGATCTGCTCCTTACTAGAGGATCTGGAAAATCCCTGTTGTTCCCAGAGGAGTCTTTCAGAAAGAGGAGGCACTGCTTGCTTATTCACTCAGGATGTAAAAGTATACCAATAAGTTTTAAACAGACTTGTGACTTATTACTGCATTTATTTCTCCATTACTACCTTCTTCAGAACCATTCAGCACTCCCACTCAATTGAATCATTATCAAATAACACATTCTTCCTAGTATACTCATTAACCAAGCAGCTCCTTTATCTTAACCTTGCTGGTCTTTTATCTTTTCTTTTTAATAGCGTCATAAGATTTCATAGATTCATAGATGCTAGGGTCGGAAGGGACCCCAACAGATCATCGAGTCCGACCCCCTGCATAGGCAGGAAAAAGCGCAGGGGCCAGATGACCCCAGCCAGATGCCTATCCAGCCTTCTCTTAAAGATTCCCAAGGTAGGGGAGAGCACCACCTCCCTTGGAAGCCCATTCCAAATTTTGGCCACCCTTACCATGAAGTTTCTCCTGATATCTTGCCTAAACCTGCTCTCTGTCAGTTTGTGACCATTGTTCCTTGTTACCCCAAGAGACGCCCTGGTGAACAGAGCATCTCTGATCCCTTGCTGCATCCCCGTAATGAATTTGTAGGCAGCCACAAAATCACCTCTTAGCCTTCTCTTGTGAAAGCTGAAGAGTTCCAGGTCCCTCAGTCTCTCTTCATAGGGCTTGTCCTGTAAGCCCCTAACCATACACGTGGCCCTCCTCTGGACTCTCGAGTCTATCAACATCCTTCTTGAAGTACGGTGCCCAAAACTGGATGCAGTACTCCAACTGCAGTCCAACCAATGCTGCATAGAGGAGAAGTATTACCTCCTTGGATCTATTTGTCATGCATCTGCTGATGCATGATAAAGTGCGGTTAGCTTTGCTGATGATTTCGTCACACTGACAACTCATGTTCATTTTGGAGTCCACTATGACTCCGAGATTCCTTTCCACTTCTCTGCTGCTGAGAGGGTCACTTCCCAGCCAGTAGGTATGCTGTATATTTTTGCACCCTAGGTGCAGCACTCTGCACTTGTCCTTGTTATACTGTTCCTTTGTTTATAAAAGCTGTAGCGCAGAACTGTATATGAAAAAGATGTCTGACCTTAAACATAGCTGCTTGTGGTTCTCCCAGTTCATAGAATGGGGGTTTTCCTGTAGCCATTTCTATGATAGTGCATCCCAAAGACCAGATGTCTGCAGCCTTCCCATAGCCACGTGGACCTTTGTCTATGATTTCTGGTGCCATATACTGAAGAGTACCTGTTCAAAAATACTCATTTTTTCTCATTTAAATACAAGGATTATTTGGGTAAACAAAAGGGCCGAGGAATGACAAAAATAACTTTAAAACTTGCCTTGTGCAGATTTCAGAAAAATCTTTTAGTTAGGACTAAAAGTAACTGACATTCACTACTGATATGACCCAAAGCACTTCTGAAACCAATAGTAGGACTCAATAGATATCACTGGGCTTTGGGTAAGGCTTAGTTATATTGCGTGCCAACATTAAAGTTAGGAGGCAATTCTGTATTGGATTCAGGGATTAAAGGAGGTCAGTGAAAGGAAGTTAAGCATGAAGTGATATAATTATACTTCCTGAGGTGAGTGCGCTATCTGGCGATAGCATTCTAAATTCTCTAGAATTCAGAGAGCAGGAGTTTAGCAGATTCTTAAAAAGGGAACTAACTAAATATAAAAGATGAAGGGTGATCATTAAATTATATAATTTGCACCAGGGGAATTATTTAAAGTCTGAAACAGGTTTTTAAGTAGGAGACTGATCAGAGTAGGGACAGATCCTGGCAATATTAGAGACAAGCTAAGCAAGCAAAGGGGATATGGCAAGAAAAGTTAGTTTTGGATCAACAAGGCAGCAAGATTAAAAACTGTGCATGTACAAGAATGAAAGTCAGGCAGATGGAGAGGAATGGCCGCTTTCTTCTAGGGGGGGACTTACGTTGCTAGCATAATTTCAGACAGCCTCCTTCTCACACAGTGGGCATGTCTACACAAGACATTTACTGCACAGTAGACTAATTAGCTGCACAGTAAACAAGGTGCATCTACACACGTGCCCCTATTAGGCTGGAGTAAACTAATTTACTCCGCAGCAGCAGCAGATCTGCAGCGTTGAGCGAGGGGGAGCAGCCCCAGGCTGGCAGCCCGACCCCCCAGACTCCTTGCCAGCAGGGGCTGCTCCGACCCAGCTCAATGTACTGTGATTCCAGGTCACATGCACCCAGGAGCAGTAAGCACTGGAGTTTATTGCAGCACATTAATATGCACATGTAGATATGTATGCACCCAGTGTGTACAAACAGTTTAAGAAGGTAAAAGTTAAAAAAAAAATTAAGAGTTGGCAAGTAAGATGAGCTCATTCCTGCAGCTACTCTAAAGTCGATGAGTTGATACAAGTTCTGTCTGGGAAGCAGCTATAGGATCTGTCTCTACACTCAGAATCGTTTCTTTGCTTTCATGTTGAAAGATACTGGACTCTAGAAACATACCAGTGAATGTTTCAGTACATGGGTTGATTCCTGCAAGTCTCTTTGAAGTTCCAAAGTCTGAAATCTTTAGCACTCCACTGTAAGTGTTGATGAGCACATTATCACCCTAAAGGACAGAACATTTGGAACAATTATTTTTTTCTAGTGACTATTAATGTAAAACATCCTGAAGAATGTATTTTCAAAGTGCATTCTTTAACATGTAATATTCTTATGGGGGTAAATCACCCTGAAACGTCAGGATATGTCTTTTTCCCAGAAAAATTGTTCTTTTATTTTTAGAATCTCATTGTATAAGCTTCTGTTCATGCTGCCCCCATACCTAACGCTCTACACTGTGCAGTGTACTTTGATTAAGCTACCACCAGAAATTTAGGTCACCAATTTGCCAGGCAGAATGATTTTGCAGTGGCTAGGGCTACTTGCATTGCCCCTTTATACACTCTTTGGAAATTAGACTATGGGGGGGAAAGGTATCTACAGTTGGATCTCAATAATAAATGGTGATCCTCTTTGACTAGACTCAGGACTGAACAGATGCCCACCGCTATTCTGGCTGGACGTAGATTTTCCATTCCAAGGGCTAAAAGATGTTGCTCAGTCTGTGTAGGAGTTGTGGAAGATACTATCCACCATGTATTAGAATGTTCTTTATATAATGACATAAGGAGAACCTATTTATTACCATACTTGCAGAAACTGATACACTTCTCAAACAGAAAGCAATGAAATCTGGCTTTTACAGCAAACAGATCCAAATGTAATAAACTGTCTCACAATTTTCGCTTACAAGGCAAAGGTGATTAGAGTTAAATATCCTTTATTACTAATATGAGTGATACATTTTAACATTAGACTTGATTTTATTGTTTTAATTGTGGATCTATGTACAACAATATTATAGATTCGTGCCTTGATTTACTACTATATTAATAATGTTTTTTATGCTAGTGGGCTCTATTTTTAGTGTAATATTTGTAGTTTGGTTACTTTGTTCAAACTTACTTATATTATGGGTGTATATGTGTTATGTTGTCTTCAGGAGCATGGCATTCTGCCAGAATCCTTAATAAACTGAAACTGAATTAGGTCACCAATAGAAAATATTATGGTTTCTGTTTAGATTAGGGCCCATCAACCTAACCACTGAAAACTTCTGAGTGTTGGGAGCAGGGACTTGAGAGAAGAAGCATTAAATTACAGTTTAAAAAATCTAGTTATGCAGTTCCTATCTGTCTAGGGGAGTTGCTAGCTATCTCCATGCAGATCACTTTAAACAGCAACAACACATTATTCACTGTACAGGACAGAAAAAACATCAAAGCACAAAGAACCTTCTTTCCCCAAATAATTGTTTTATTTACAAGCATAATTTTTCCTACTTAAGTAAACCATGTCTATAATTTGTTGCAGCTTCTTACCTTTATGTCTCGATGCACTATCTGATTATCATGGAGATATTTTAATCCTTCAAGAATTTGCTTGGTGTAAAAGCCAATTGTCTGCTCATTATCTTTTAATGGCCCCCATTTTGACCTCAGAAGAGCAGAAAGGCTACCTGTAATTTGGAAGAGAAAGACTGAATGCAAACCTCATTCAGGAAGTGTTCCTTCTGTTCAGGAAAAAGACATCACAATTACCTCTTTCTCACTGCCAGAAACAGAAAACAATTCTGGAAAAGTGAAAAATTAGCATAAAAATAATAAAACCAAAGGAATTTACTGCAGCAAATACCAACTCCTGACACAACCCAGTAGGTGAATTTAATTTCTCTCCTCCCCCCCACGCCATTTAGTTTAAAAAAAAACCCAACAACAAACCAGCCCTCAAACCGCCTGCTCAGATGCCTGGGTAAGAGGACAGAAGATGTAGTGTGCATTTGAGGACAACGATCCCACCCAGCAAGGGTGGCAACATGTACCATAACCAAGGGCCCCATATGGAATGCTTATTACTAGCTTTCCACTCCAGGTAAAATTAAAGGCACTCTGGTCCCACCATCTCCACTGACCTCAGATGCAGGACTTTTTCAAACGCGGGTGACAAACCCCTTTAGCATAGTGTTAATTCAGCATTGGCCTCACTCTCCTTCCCTGACTTGGAGAGAGGCAAACAGCAAAAGCACTAAGGAAATGTGTGTGCATGTGGTGAGGCTCTGAGAAAAGATTTTTGAAGGAAAGCTAAACTTGGTGGATAAGATTTTGATTTAGTTATTTAGTTTATTTAGTTATTTAGTTATGGCTGTCATGAGTTTTACTGTCTGTCTTATTTCATGTGACAATGAGTTCTACAAAGCAAATCTCCCATGGAGATTCTCTGCATCTGTGGTGACTCTCCTTTCCAGTTTCATATTTTCAGTGGGATGTAACAACTACTGGAGGCCTTAGATAGAGAGGTTCTCTCTTTTGCAGCTAGGATCAATAATGTCTAGAGCAGTGGTGCTCAACCTTTTGGTCCTGTGGGCAGATCCTTTGTAAGGTCAGCACATGGGGTTGGGCCTCTGGCGTCTGGATTGGGTCCTGCATTCCCTTAACCTAGCCCTGTATGCCCAGATAGGGCACCATGCTGCTTCTGCCTGGCCCTACATGCCCAGATTGAGCTCCATGCTGCCCCAACACCACACACCAGATCTAGCATGCAGGTCCACACTATCTGGTCCACCAGGCTCCAAAAATTTGGCAACAGGGGAGTGGTAATTAATAGGCCTGTGTGAATAGGGAAGTATTTGATTCGGATTTGGCTGACTCAGAGGACAGCAATTGGATTTAGTGATTTGAATCACAGTCCCCATTCGATTTGGCCGAATCAGAATTGGAGATTCGGATTGGCCAGGGAGAGGCAGGCACATCTGGGCAGCTGCAGGTCCTCCCGCGGCTCCTCTGGCTGTGCCTGTCTCTCCCTGGGCGGGGGGAGCGGCAGGAGAAGCCCCCATGGCTGCCCTGCCTGGCCCCATCCCCCGCCCAGCCCCAGCCTCCCAGCACTTAAAAAAAGCCCCACGCTCACCAGCGGCAATCAGGGCCTCTGGGGGCTTGGGGCACAGCCACAGAGTGGGGCAGCAGGGATTCCCGCCCCCCCCTCCCCGGCATCCACGTGGCAGCTATCGCATCGCGCGGGTGCAGCACGGCTTGACAGGTCACCACATGCTGTCTGGGAGCTAGGGCGGCTCCACCTGTCAGCCATAGCCCAGCGCTGCTCAACCCCAGTGGCCCCAGCTCCCAGAGAGCGCATGGCACCCTGCTGAGCCACACTGCACATGCACCATGGGGCAGCTGCTGTATGGGTGCCAGATGAGGGGGGATCCCCACTGCCCTGTGCCACGCGGGGGGCTCTGCCATGAGCCCTCAGAGGCCCTGATTCCCGCTGCTGCAGCCGGTGAGTGCAGAGGTTTTTTATATATTTGTTTATTTAGTGTTAAGTGCCTGGAGGCTGGGCTGGGCAGGGAATGGGTCTGGGCAGGATAGACATGGGGGCTTCTCCCACAGCTCCCTCTGCCCAGGGAGAGCCAGGCACAAACAGAAGAGCCGTGGGAGAACCTACAGCCACCCTGCTGTGCCTGCCTCTCCCCGGTCAATCTGAATCTCTCAAAATCTTTTCTGGATCAATTTGGAGGCTTTGGATTCAATTCAGACCTTTTAATGGGTCTCCCAATTCTATTTGGATTAGGAGATTTGGCCGCCAAATTGAATCAGCAACCGAAGCTTCATATAGCCCTAGTAATTAACTCTGACACTACTCCTCCATCACCACATTTTCAGACCCAGGGGGAGCCCTGTGGCCCAGACGACACAGCTCCACAGGCTGGGGTTTGAGCACCTCTGATCTAGAGCTTCTAAAAAGATAGACCTTGTACTGGACACTGCTCAGTAGGCAACCATGATAGAGAGCAAGGCTGAATGTGCTGATAGCAATCCACCTTTGTGGCTGAGCAGGTAAATTCCTATAATCTGTACTGGATGAAGTTTTTGCAAGATAGCAAAAGTAAGTACCATTTTACATCAAAGGCTATATGGGAATCCACATGCATTGGAGAATTAGGGCTAGTGGGAAAATAAAATATCTAGAGGTCTTGAAATGTTAATTTTGTATTGGAATGGAAATTAGCTGTTTTACAACCTCTCGTGAAAAAAAATATTTGAAAGAAAAGCAGCCCAGCCCAGAGCAGCTGAAATCCCACTAATTAGGGCAGTTACCTAAGATACCTGCTTTGCATCAGGCTTTGGACCTGGGTCTCCTGCATCAAGCAAGTATCCTAATAGGCTGCTGGCTATTCTAGTTGCATTCTCTCTCTCTCTCTCTCCCTCCCTTTCTCTTCCTCCAGAAATTAAACCTGGATAAAACTTCCCAACAACATTTTTGTCTAAACTAATACAATTTCCATAGAAACTTCTGGTTTTTACAAATTTACTTTTTCCAGGGAAGAAAAATATTTTATCAAAATACTCCCAAACCAGCTCTTATGAGAATTTCAGGAGAACTTTGTTTAAAATGCGTTTGATCAAAGAAGACATGAAAATGAAAGTAAGCTGTTCAAAAGCACTTAATTGTTTCTGCCAGCATCTTTTTTACCTTGCCAAGATTAATTTTCAGGGAGCTGTTCTTAATCTAGATTCTGATCTCCACTAGGCACTGATAACATTGAGATGACAACATATAGGTTTCATATAAATTTGGTATGCAGCTAGATATTTCATCCCACCTATGGAACAGATTCCCCCCAGTGCATATTACACACACACACACACACACACACACACACACGATGGGTCAAGTTGGGGAACATAAATGAACCTTAAAGATCTTTTTCTGGTGATGCTTTTAAAGAAGGCATAATTAGCTATTTGAATCTTCTTATTTAAGCCCAAAAGGTAGGACTTCAATCATATACTTTCTGTATATTTCTGTATTCTTTTTTGACAAGTAACATCAGGGGATGCTGCAGAGGTCTATCCAAATGGCGTCTAAATAGAGAAGGAGATTGTCTGCTAGACTACAAGATCTGCCCTTATACCATGCTCTCCCTGAACCATCAAAGGGATACAGGAATCTTGTTGATCCTTCTAGCCTGTCCTATAACTTATAACAATATACTCTACAATTTATTCAAACCATCAACCTGATGAAGACATGTCTTTGTTCCAAACTGTCATATAAGGGTAGTCTATAGCCATGGAAAAGATTTTAAATATTCTTCATCCAAATTTACACTTTATATTATTGCAGCGTTCTAAAATTTTATATTAAAAAAAACCCCCAAACAAACATAACTCACTCACCTCCTGGCACCTGTTCCATAAATATCTTAATGAACCCATTTTCACTTAGTGAACCTAGATATTGAACAATATTCTTGTGTTTGAGGTGTTTATGCAAGGCTATTTCTTCATGCAATGGCTGGGAATATCTGGAAATAAAAGAAACCTTTAGTTTTATATAAAATTGTGTTTTTAGCCATGTCCACTGAGGTCCCATAAAGCACACCTACTGAAATGTAGTACACAATGCTACAATTTTATATCCATACTTTTTGTTAAAAACCTGAAAACTGGTTTCACAGTAATGGCAATAAAATTCAGGGTTTCCAAGACAATACTATGCCCCAACCAACCTGACCAATTAGATGGGTAATAAACCAGCAAGTCATCTGCAATAGAAAAATCAGCTAAAGCTTATGTTTTAGATTGATAATATTCTGAAACATTTAATTAAATGAGAGGCTTATTTGAAATCAACATAGATATTTATCACAGGAAACAGTATTCTCTTTATTGAGCTGTTCACTAGAATGAGTAAGTTTTCACCAAAACATAAATTCAAAGCCAAAATATGTTGCAGAACTTGTGGGTTTAAACCAGGGCAGTCCAAGTTGAGTGGTTGGGGGCTGCCACTTGTTATACAGGGTGATTCCTCCCCGCCCCAGGACACCCCCTCTATGCATGAGCAGTAGTGTCACCACTTTTACAACATGGATGGTGCAGGTCTCTTCCTCCTCACCTCTTTCTTCCCCCATGCAAGCCAAAGGTTCCCTGGGCCACCTTCTGCCACCCTGCGTCAGCCCTAGAGGCAGAGGCATGAAGCAGAAGATGGAAGGGGGAGAGGAGCCGAAAGACCGATGAGGGGGGTGGTAGCCAGGTGGCAGCCCACAGGTTGTGTATTAAACCCCCATGGATTACCAGTTGGACAGCCCTGGTTTAGACAATTTGTTCTCTGCAGAAGTTTCTGGTGTCCAGTGTTCTTCAGTGCAAAATAAAACCAAGCTACTATATTTTAAAATTTGTGGTAAAGTAGAATCATCATTCTAGTCACCTCTAGCATTTTCTTTCCAGTCATCAGCACATTGCATGTACTACCAGACTGTTTGCTTGATTTTCTGCTTTGTTTGCCAGAGCTGAGAGAGTGTTTGATACTTGAAGCTCCACTTGGACATAAGCATGAACTATATTTTCAAAAGAGCTCAGCAGGCCGAACAGTGTGCTCCTTTGAAAAATCCAGTTATAAAAGCATGTGTGGTTGCTGCAAAATGCTAAGCCTTTTTTGAACACTGGAGCTTATTTAAATACCTATTAGAGGCTGAACTTGTTTCAAAAATATTTCCTCACATACTACACAAACATCTGTCCCCTGAACTATGGGTTTGGGGCACTGTGGCCACTGAACAAGAGTGTGTGTATGTTACTGATCTGCGTGACCACACTGTCTCCAATTTAGTAATTGTTAAGCTGAGTTCTGAAGTATGCACCCTTATATAACTGTATTTGCTCTTCAGCACAGTTCTTTCTTCTCATCAATGAAATGCACTGATCGTACTAAAGCATATTGCTGCATTCCATTAATATGGACTGTTAGTATCGACTTAGTGAGGAACAGCAAGATAGTTAAAATTTTACCCTCTGTATGGTTAGATTTCAGAGGCAACACATGGTTAACAAAGTCTTGAGCAATAGGAATACATCTGTAAATTAAATAGACTCATGAGAAAATGTTCAGTGAGGACAGGCGTTTTAGTAGACTGCTATTTAATTAGCAAGAAAAAAACTCAATTCAAAGATGTAAGGCCTTACACATTTATTCGCTATTTATTTATTTAGCTAAAAAGTACTAATATGGTGCTCACAGGGCTGTTACTTAATACTGAATAAATATTTGAGAGTTGAGACCTTCGTAGTGGTACATCTTGTTTTGCCTCTATTCTGTTGAAAATATCTCCGCAATCTAACATTTCCTGATATTTAAGTACATGTGCTGTATTTAATGGTTATCAGCTTGATAAGGGTATAATACATGATAAAAAGTTTAACAAAAATGTAATTTCATTTGAGATCAGTTTGCAAGGAAAAATTAAATTATTGCAGTTCCACAAGATGGTTGTTTTCGTTTTGAAAAAAGTGACAATTTCATTAAAAAGTGCTTTTCTGGCTGCAAGTTCAAAATGTTTCCCTTCTACTTTAGTTCACACTGCAGACAAAGCCAAGGACAAATACAACATGAACATGCCCCTGCCCTCAACATACTCAACCTCCTGGATGTGGATTCCCCCAGGGTCTGCTCTAACTTACAGGACCTTGCTTCCTAGAGCCAAAAAGATTATTCAGGAACAGGAGATGTTTTTGTTTCTTTTTTTTTTAGTTATTGCTTAAAATAAAAGGATTCTTGTGGTTCTTGCTAGCTTTGGTGAGATGCTTTTGAAATGAAGTGATTTGCCATTTTCATTAATTATTTTTCATAAGCTTTTGATAATATTTTTACATAAATTTGAGGCATGTCTTATTGTCTTTAATATCCTTTCCTTCTAGTCATGTGGCAACATGATGCATCTTATCAGACAAATCTGTGCTATGTGACTCACATGTTTATCTCAGCAACAGAACAAAGACAAGACATTACTGCAGTTTTTAAACAGTCTGAAAAACTTAGAAAGCGCTCCAGTGCAAACAAGTTCTACTAATAGTTATTACTTATGTCACAGTATTTACTGAATACCCTGTTTCTAGTAGAATTCAAATATCATGACATCACACACAGGATGTTGAATGTCCAGTCCTTAAATAGACCATTGCAAGTAATTTAGTGTTTAAATAAAGAAGAAATTTCAGTTTACAGAATGACTCTCAATGGAAATGTCTATGTGCAGTAACTGCACGTTTCACACAGTTTATTCTGGCATTTAAATAGGCTCTCATACAAATTTTGTCTCTTTAGCTCAGTCTTGAAGAATCCTACAAGTAATTAGGTTCAAGAGTGATCTGTGGTGGTAAACTGTAGTTATTTCCTTCATTCCACATGTCCATGCACACTTAAGGAGGCTTAGCTAATCAAATGTTCAAATGGGATGCTACATTTCAGCAACATCTACACCCAGAAGTAAAAGCATTACATGTTACTAGTGCCAAAAAATGAAAAAAGCAAGAACTGAGTTTCTACAATCATACATAGTAAGCATTTTTATAACTATTTTATGTATATGAGTGTTTCAAAATCTCTAATGTTTGCCATGATAACACTTCTGTAAGGTTGGGAAATGTATTAGACATAGCGAATGCATAGAGATTAAGGAACCTGCACGGATACAAATTCCTGTATGTCTCACACCATCACATTTCACCAGTTACCCTGTATTGAGTTCAACAGCCTCCATTTATTTAACACAACCCATGCGTAGCTAAAGAATAACTTCCAGAAAGGGATCTCCTATTGATATGAAGTTGAAAAAATGTCCACTTCCCTTGTTAGCTTGTTCCAGTAGCTAGTTAATCATCTCACCAGGGCAGGACGTCCCAGTGGGGATCTTGGTATTAGGAAGTAGGTGACATAAAGGTAGAGCAGCAGGGTACAGAACCTCCATGTGTGTATGGCCCTAGTCTCCCATAGATCCACAAAGATCTACTAGATTTATGGTAAAGCTCTCTTCGTACACCCCTTGGAAAAGCCATGTAGGAAAACCTTTTTCTTTTTCTTTTTGTGCCTCTGTAATGTTGCTAGCCTATTAAAATCAGACTAATGATAAATGTTTCTGAGAACTGTAAGCACTCTCCCCACAGCTCTCTCCCTGAGATGGCTGACTTCCCAATTGCTATTATAATTCATTGTTTTCACAGCTTTGGAGACTATTGTTGTGCTTTAAATGAACTGGAAAATGAAGCATGAACACTATACAGACAAATATAATTTATCAGCAGCTTTTCAGGAAAGGTCTTCATTAATCAGAAAACTGGCAAATCATACTTCAGAACCAACACACATCAACAGAACAGCATTTGGATTCAGCCACAATAACTGTACCTGCTATCCCTCTCTGGGATTTCTTTAATAGCAATTCTGACTTGATTGCTCAGATCTCGTCCTGCATAAACTATGCCATAGGTGCCTTTTCCCAAAATGACTCTCTCACCATTTTCATCATACTCATAGTCATACTGAAAAACAAAAGAAGATAAAACTTTGTATTTGTAATATATAGTAAGAAATGCTTACCTGATTATATAAGAAATGTACTTCTATAGCCAGCTGTTATAAAAATAAGGGAGTTAGACAGAGGGCACTATACACCAACTGAAAACTTCAGCTTCAGCATAAACACGGAAACTATTGCCGGATGAACTTATTTGTTCTGGTTGCTCTCTTGACCTATGTTTTCTAAGTACAGTGCAACTTCAATTTTTCAAATTCCAGTTTAGCCAGAATTATGTATTAACAGAGGTCAGTTGCAGATGCAGTGAATAAACCCCACTCCTGAATTCAGATTAATCGAGTCAGAGAATTTAAGGCTGGGAAAGGCCATTACAGTATTTCAGCTGGCCTCCTGTATAACACAGCCACGGAATTGTACCCAATCACTTTTTGACTGAGCCCAATAATTACCATTTGACTAATACACTTTCCAGAACGGGATCCGGATATGATTTGAAGATACGAAAAAACAGAAAACCCAACACTTTTCCTGATAATTTGTTCCAACAGTTAAACCACATTCTTAGTTAAAATATGATCTTATCTTTAATTTATATTGGCCTTGCTTCATCTTTTAGCCACTGGGTATTTTTATGCTCTTCTACACTAGATAAGAAGAACCTATCAGTATACTGTAGTTCTCACTCAAAAGCATTTATACACTTTAATCAATTCGACCTGATCTTCTCAATAAACAAACCAAACTGAGCTCCTTCGGTCTTTTATTGTAAGGCATTTTTTCCAGTCCTATTCTCTGTACATTTTTTCATTTCTTCAATATCTGTTTTAAAATGCAGAGACACTAGAGTACAGCTTTCAATTCAGTATGTAATAATGAAACTCCCAGTTAACTAATATCACAAAAGTTTTGATGTCTCTGAGACTCTTGTGAAATCAAGCTTCACCTGATAGAATGTATGCTGGAAGGCTATCTTTTCTTTACCAGAAAGAAGAAAATCTAAACAGACCACTGACTACATATTACATAGTTCTTGTGATACCTTTCCTGAACATACGTATGTCTACACAGCAAACAGAGGAGTGAGCATCTGTAGCATGAGCCGGCATACACCTATACAAGTTCTAATTTAACTAAGATGAATAACAACAGCACTGAAGATGCAGCAACACAGACTTCAGCTTGGGCTGGCAATGTACGTATGTAGCTGGAGTCCCTGACTAGCTTAAAAGGACCTGTGCCACAGTTCATGCCACTGTGTCTTCATTGCTACTGTCACCTGTGCAATGAAGATTAAAATTGATGTGGCTATTCCTATAGTACCTACAGTTATACCTTCATTTGCTTTGTAGATCTTCCTTAAAGAAATGATTTAATATAAAACCAAAAACATTAAACAGTGCTTTCTATGCATTTTCTCTTCTCTCTAATGAAAGAGGCAGAACAGAAGGGTGGCTTTTAGCAAAAATGTAAAGCTAGGAGATTATTTCCCTTATCAGACTAATTAAATGCTCTAAGACATGGGTGGGCAAAATATCGCCCACAGGCCTAATCTGGCTCGCCAGCAGATTTTATCTGGCCTGCAGCAGATCCTTCAGCCCTGCCCAGCACAGGTGCAGAGGGCAGCCTGGGCTGTGGCACATGCAACTAGTCCCACTACCCCTGGGGGTGCAGCAGCTGGACTCAGCTTCCCCATCAGCAGCACCTCCTCAGCTGCCGCTGCCAGTGTTACCACTGCCACCGGACCCAGCCCTGCTGTCTGAGCACCCCACCCCATCCACCTCGCACCAGATAGAGTAGGTAAGCAGACACTTTCTCCATGGAGACCAGCTTGGGACCTGTTTGGGCATTGCACGCTCAGCTGGGTGGATTGAAAGGGGCCATGGGTGAGCAGGGAGCAGCATCCAAGAGTGGAATGGGGAGATGGGTCCAGGGCCAGAATCATGGGGCTGTGACAGTGCAGAGCTGTGCAGGAAGCAGATCACAGCTCTTACCCAGGCCCCAGCTCTGACCACAGCCCCATCCACCCATCCCACTCCCTACCTGCCCACAGCCCCATGCCATCTGCCCAGTCTGGGGTCCTTGGCTGGTTATCATGGAGACCCTGCCCACCAGCTCCGTCTGACACCCCTGTACTGGTCTATTAATTTACCACCTAAGGAGTTTGGGTGAGCTGTCATGGGCTGCAGGAGGTGCTGATCCAGCCCACAACGCTCACCAAAACTCCCTAAGTAGTCCTCCAGCTCAAATAATTGCCACCCTGCTGTAAGAAATATCTGTGTTGGTTTTATATTGTATATAATATGTTTACTTCTATAGAGAATGTTTTGTTTTCAAACACTTGGAGCACTATTTTAAATTGCATCAATCTTTGGCTCCCACTGAATTCCCTATTCCCAAGTCAAATCCTATCCTACTGGCCTAAAATTCTCAATAGTTGAAAGAAACTAAAACAAAAATCCTATAAAACAACCTGTCCTTACCTCCAAGGAGTCTCCATCACATTCCCCTTCCTCAGTGTTCTTCCCTATCTCTTCAGTGATACTATTCACCATATCAAAAAACCTGTATAAAAAACAATCAAAAAATACTTGATGCAGTGACATCAGAACGAGCCCTTACATGAAATATAATTCAACAGAAAGTTAAGCATAATAAATAGTAATCCAAAAGAACAGCTCAATTTAGGAAACCTAGGGAAGAAAAAGAAATGGCTGCTCTTGTTGAAAAGGAAAGTTAATAGCTATACAGAGTGTTGACATGACATATATAATACACTCAAGGCCACAAAAACATATATGAAGTGTCAGGGAAATATAACTAGATTCATAAATAAGGGGTGAGATTCTTGCTCTAGCAGTGGTTTCTTATTTTAGGTAAAAGGACTGAGGCTTCATGAAGAGGTACTAAATGCCCTGGAACCAGCTGGGAAAAAATTTCCCTGCTGCAGGAAGGAGGCTTTAATTTTCTGAAGACCTCTTCCCATGCAAACTCTGAAAAACAAAAAACCTCCAAAACACAAACAAAAACATCCTACAAATATATAGCACTTAACTATGCAAGCATCTCCTTTGGGGAGAGAATAAGAGAACACGCACAGTGTGGCCGATATTCCTCAAACAGTTTGATGCATAATTGGAACATATCCAGATGTGACTGCAAAGATGAGCATCGTGTAAGAACGAACATACCTAGAACAGACAGGGGTCATACTGGTTTGGGAGGTAGCTAGAATCATAATGCTCCAGGCAATGCTGCTGCCCCAGGGCACATATAGGTTTTCAAGGTTCTTTAAGTTACTCCAGGACCAACTCAAGCCCATCATACAGCAGCCCAGACCCAAGACAGCGTGAAGGTGGCTTAAAGCAATCATGGGAATCTTAACAGTGATTGGGAGAACTCAATACGAGTTCTGTATTGAGCCTCTTAAACATGCACAAACAAAATCACTCTGCATGCTTTAAAACACAAGCAGGATTAACTCTAATGGAAAGGAATCATGGTGTGTAATCAGAAATAATGACAGAAAGCTACATTAGACCTCAATCCTGCAAAGCATTTCAGCACACATGCACAACTGGCCCCACTGACTTCAAAGAGTATATTTTCACATTTGATGCTTTGTTAGATTTGGTTCCAGCTAATTCTTGAAGTCTTAATATTTGTCAGTAATAAAAATCCCCAAGGACTTGTACAAATTCAGTTTCTTTCAAATATTCACATTAGCATTAGCATAGGTGAACTTCAGTGGTGCTGGGAACTGATTGTACAATGCTGAAATGCCTATAAATTCAAACAGAAGATAAATAAGAGTTGAGAGCTGCAAAATTGCCTCAGTTCCAAAGCAGCCAATACCCATCTCCTTCAAGACTAGCTTGCACTGAAAAAAATATTAAAAACCATCCTTTTAAAAACTGGGCCCAAAACATACCTTTTGCAATGATGTTCTGTGCAGAAATAGATTTGAAAGTCATCTGAGTTGTGCAGCACATACAGGAAACAGCACCGTTCTTCAAATTTCGAAATACTGAAAGAAAAGCCAAAATAAATGCAGGTGACCTAGGCTCCTGAGAAGCAGTGGTTTAGCAACATCCAACTACTCAGATAATCTAGTTTTTCTTCCTTATAGCACAGGATTTAAAACTGAATATAGACCACAATATATCATGCTGCTATACACACATTTGACAGAAGCATTCCCTTGCCTTCTGAAACGCTGTCCCTGCTGACCAGAAACTCCAGCATCCTACCACTGTGCATGCTTCTCTGAAAGCACCAGAAAAATGAAGGAGTTAAGAACCTACCAGGAACAGGCAAAGTCTGGCTTGGGGCCAGATCTGGCCGGCAGTGCACTCCATTTCCCAGCAGCCCCTGCGCATGTGGCTAGAGCTGGTTTCCATGGAGACCCTAGCAGCAGCCACACTGGAAACCCTGGTCTCACGTTATTACATGGAGACTGGCCCCAGCAGCGGGGCCAGCCTCTTCCTGGTGCGGGGAGTTAGAGGGGACTGTGCTGCAGACAGAAGAGGGCTCAGCTGCCGCCACCTGTGCAGGACAGGCAGCAGTGGCAGTGGTGCTGGGAGGGGTGGCTACGGGAACCTTAGGGTAACTATAGCACCAGCCCCCTCCCACAACCCTCCAGACCACACTGTCACTGCCACAAGATCCCAGCTTGGCTGCTGAGCAGTTCCGCACCCTGCCACATGCCGTGCCAGCGCTGCAGGGGCTCACAGTGTGGCTGCTGCTGGCATCTCCATGGAATCCAGCCCCAGCCACGTGGGCAGGGGTTCCTGGGAAATGGAGTCCGGCTGCTGGTCAGATCTGTCATTTTTCCCATGCCCATAGTCAAAAGCCCATTAAAGTGTCTAGAAAGAATCCCACTGAATTTACTGTTCTGGACTTCAGATCAGACAATTAAAATGCACTCAGTCTGAAACCATGAACTGCTGCTGCCTGGATGAAGTGGCATTTCAGGGTGGCACTGGAAGGCTGCCAGGACTTAACTCACCTTTGCTTAAAGCTGATACTGCTAGTGACAACCATCCATTGCTCTGTCCTTGTGTAGGAAAGCGCCACTGGCATTAGATTTAAGTTTACAAAAGCCCTACAAAACATTTTCTTCCTTGAACCTGAAGTTCCTGAATATAGAAGCTATTGAGTCTTTGTTCTTTTTTTGCCAGCTATAGTTCAGCCCACTATGGGAAATTTTCAGGTGGTAATGCACTAATTGGTATACCTATGTTATAGAACAAAACATTCCTAGAACAGTGACACTTTCTGGGATGGAAAACACTTTGTCACCTAGTCCAATAGTTTGTTACTCTATTAGAACTATTTTCATTGTCTGTCTTGACAAGCAAGAAGAGGGCAGGATAGGGAGGTCCTTTCATAATGTAGAGGTTCCTACAGAAGCGAATGCTGGAAAGAGGGATGACTGAACCACACATCGCTTTCTCAATCCCAACAAATTCTTCAGGAAACATTATCCAATATAATTTTTCCAGGGAAATTGGATATCAGGCACTTACTTGAAGCAGTTCTTCCTTCAGTTTGTCCCTTCACGTCACACTTTGATTCAGCAGAATTTGTAATTAATGTTTTAAATAGAGAATATTGCAGGATCGAGGCAAATGTATTAAGTCCCTTATTTGGAGCCCTTCTTAAAAAGATATTGGACGAAATATGGGCTCCACTGAAATCAATGGAATTTTTCATTGTGGTAAAATCTTGGTTCCATTGAAATTAGTCTTAAACTATTTTAAATGGAAACAAAAAAAAAAATAAACTTGTACTAGAAATTATGCAATGGAGACCATGAAAGTATTTGGTTCTGGACAAAGTACAGACTTGGTTAACATGGTTGTTGTTCAAGAAAAATACCACTAACATTTTGAATCACCACTTTTTTGATGTTGTTAAAATTACTTTATAAATAGGATTTATATCTCATCTTCCCATCTCTATATAGTCTTCATTGCTATTTTGTCTGGTATTGGTAAGCAAATGGGAAACTTGGGGTCTTAACATATTTTAAGCAGACATTTAACAAAAGCTATATAGTAAAAGGAAAGATGACTTCATAAATCAGAATGTTAGTACCCAAAATGTATTACATGATGAGCACCTCTGTGATAACACAGAAACTGCTTGGGACAGGGATCAGTCCATACCTCAGTTCAGCAGGGCAATCAAGTACAATTAAACATCTGATTGAGGTCCACTGCCATGAAGAGAAATAATGTTGTGCTTAAAGCTTCAAGTACATATATTTACTAAACGAGGGCTTCTAATCAGTGTGCATATAATCTTTTCTTGTTTATTTAAAATTATGGTGATGCTAAGGCTATTTTACTTGCCTTACTGCAAAGCTGAAGACTATCCATCTGCTTAAGGATAAGTGGATAGTTCTGAAGATTCCCCCTCAAGAGTTCTTCCTGAACTGCACTTCCTGCTTACAGAGATTCACTGCTTTACGTGATATGTCCTCAGAGCATAGTAACTTAAAATATTTAGAAATATAGGGATTTATCCTCTGCTTTCTGCAATGTCTCTTTAAAGTGCAATGTTTCCTAGGGTTCCTCTTGGGTACTCAGACTTGGGGTTAGCTCACAGCATAGCCCTTAGTGACTTGGGTTCATTTTGACTGCATATAAGAAAGGCTATTACTCTTTCTTTAGTGCAAATTATACCCTGCATTGGTTCCTCCAGTTTCCACAGAACTTCACTGTTTAAAAATCAGCTATGTACCACAAGCAAAATACTGCTATCTGACTCAAAGTGCCTCAGGAAGCTGGACTCATTTAAAGGCTTTTGATGGCTGGTGATACTTTTTGACTCAAAGCAATAACAAGTAATTCTGGCTGAATGTGTGCTAGGATGCAAGACATAGGCAGAGTAATTTAGTAGTGCACAAACCACTAATCATTCATCAAGTTTACATTTTAGCGTTACTTTAAAAGGTACAGTGTGTGATTCAGCATCATGTTTCCAGAACTGTATAAATCTTTTGAGTCCCTTTTTTAAGGGAAAAACTCTATTACTCATGAAAAAAGCTGAGTACATTGGCCGCTGAGGGACATGCAGGGCAAGAATCTTCTCCACCATTTCCCTATAATATTTACCAGAAACATTAGTCATGCTTCAGTACTAGGTGTCTTTTCCCCAGGCCTGCCAAGTGCTGCTTGTATAATGCCAATAAATATTTACCCACATCCATGTGGAAAAGGTCACCAAAAACAACATGATATGCTCCCCATACATCAAAACTGTGACTTTTTAGATCCACTATTTATGGCCTTTGCAGGCGTAAAAGTAAAGACTGAGGCTCTTGGTAGAGCTGGGAATTTCCCTTCTTTAGACAGCTTTAAGATATTAGGGTTCAAGCCTGGGCTCTTTGATGAAGCAAAAAGAAATTGAGCTATGGAAAGAGAAAGTATCAGAAGCAGGATGACTACTGCTATGTTCTCTATAAAACACAGCACTATATATGGTTCCTTTCCCAAAGATCTTCTGACTTCACAAGTTACTTCCTTCCACAACTTCTCCTCAACCAAGCCAAACTGACTGAGTTTTGGAAACTTCACAGAAATGGTTCTTAGCTCTAGAAAACTGTAAATCACATGAACAAACTTATTGGACACTGGTCCAAATGAAGACTGGGTGTAACTGATAATAAGCACTAGAGGAAAACACAAAACATTAATGACCACTAACGAGTTTTAGCAGTGTCAAGAAAGGTTTGATAAATTCTGGAAGAGCTACACTGAGCTCAGACAAACAAACAGACTAATCTACATTACACTACTACAGTTTTTGTCTAAACTAAACTGAATTGCACAGGAAAAGTGTAAATGACAGTTTAAAGATGTTTCCAGAAGGGCAAAGGATGGTACATCTGTGCAGAAACAATTTATTACTAGAAGAGGACTGGCTGGATATTGTTTGTTTGTTTTTTAAAAAAAGGTTACACTTTGTGGAGGAAACCGTTTTCCCCCCCAAATATAGTAAACAAAAATACTGAAAAAAACAGGATGTCACAGATTACCGTGGCTTGTGTAAGCACAGGGGGAAAAAATGAGACAGAGAAGGAACTGATCTAATGAAAGTGCAGCAAAAGACTGATCTCTTGAGTATTGATATGTATAAATTATTGGTGGGATCCTGAACAGAAATGCATTCAAGTACCCCTCCCACCCTTTTACCTACTCTATGTCCCTGATTCTGCAGAGCTCGAGTGACTGAAGTCACAGAATCTGGATGCAAACTGCCAGTGGAAAAATCCCCTTCTGCTGAGTGGAACTCCTTGCTGAAACAAAGTCAAAGGAAATGGTAGGGCTGCTTCCTGTGTCAGTCTTCTGTCATCCTACATCCCCCAGTGAAGGAAGAGTGGCAAGGAAGGCAAAGGGAAGGCCACAGCCATGGTGAAACAATGCTCCACAGTTGTATAAAGTAAATTTTAGTGCAAGGGAAAAATTAGGGGCTTTATTTTTAAAGCAGTATCATTGCATGGTATTTTGTTTTACATGTAGAGATGTGATTTTTAGTTGTATACATCACTAACAAAATATCTGGGGGAAAAGCATCAAAGCACAGTTAATTCTTAAAAAAACCCAACAGAAGACAGTATAAAACTCAACAGCCTAAATTTGCCAATGTAAACCAGTAGTTTTTGAATGCTGCACATGGGATACCTCAAAAGAAACTCCATTTTTAAACTTGGGCATCGTTTTCAACTCAGCCCTCTCTAGATGTTCATAGTCAGGCTGTGTCTAAATCTTCTTGGTTCTTTCCACATAAACATCTAAGTTACCCCTCTCTCCTCTCCACTTACTCAGCTAAAACTTCTCCACCTTGCATTTTACTTACTTCAACATTCTTTCCATTGGCCTTGACAAATACAATCATGTCCCATTCTGATCCTCTCAAAATACTTCTGTAGCAGTTCCTCATTGCCATCAGCTTAGCTCATTACCTTACCCATGTTATTCCCCTGCTTATATTTTTCCATTATCTCCCTTTTCTCCTGGTTGAAGGAAATCAAATAGTTGTCTGTCATGTCTCATTCACTATCACTACATTGACTACTCAACTCCAAACAACCATATATGAGCCATCATAGTTATTACATTTTCAAATTGTTACTTTTGTGGTTTGCTCCATGCTGTCTCTCTCACTTGGGAAGGGCTCCCTATAAACATCCATAAAGCTACCTTACAATCCTCCTTCAAATCTTTTCAACTCTCCTTTGCTGCCATGCCTACAAAAACACTTGAGAAAATTAAGCCGCTTGTTGAGACTACCACAGATTGTGCTGAACCACACTGCTCTTGTCATTTTGTTCTGTTCTCCTTGTCTGTATCCCTCTGCCATCTCTTGGCTTATACTCCAGTTGTAGTAGAGGCAATATTAATCTTTTTTGTGTTTATAAAGTACATAGGTAATATGAACCCATAGATGCCAACTCTGTGGATGTTCTGGGGCCCAAGCACCCACTGAAAAAAATCAGCGGGTGCTCAGCACCCATGAGCCAAACTTGCAGACATACGGAAAAAAAAGCTTCTAAAAGCTCCCAATCTTTACAGATGCTGCAGAGCCAGGTAGAAGGAATGTGTTGCCCCTTCTGGGCATGTGTGGGGCTTGGCGCACTGATGTGCCAAGTTAAAGTAAAATGCCTGGGGGGTTTTTTATGCCTGCAGCTATCCACCAGCAAAAAACAAAGTCAGTGCCTATGTGTAGTCCTGATCTATTACTTGAGGCTCCTTAGCACTTCCACAATACAAGTAATGAGCAGCAAGAATGTAAATTTAAATGAGTTATTTTAATCCTAATTATAAACTTTCCCGAATGCAAGGTATGGCACTTCTTTAGTCCACAAATATACATACATATATAAATACATACATATGCACACATGCATCTATATTAAATTCTGGCATAATAACCTCTGCACATGACTATTCTAGGATGCAGACACACGTAACCATTGAATCAGTCCAGTGTCATTGTTTGGGAACATATCCACAATTGCTGTGGGACAGAATGCTGAAACATAACAAGTGAACAGTTTCCAAATGTTGCTGATTGGGAACTGGCTCACAATTGTGTAAAATGATGTAAAGTGTAAAGTGTAAAGTGAACACCTAGTTCAACATACCTCGACTGAATGAGCAGGGGAAGAAGTGCTTCTACCCATGCCTGGAGGAACACAAGGGTTGGGTGACCTGTGGCTAGGGACATTTCCACTTTTCTGCTTTTCTCTCCCCACTAAACATGAGTTCAGTAAACTTCAATAGTCGGCAGTTGACCAAAGTTTGTAGTGTGCTCACCTGTATTGGATTAGGGGGTTAGTACTTGGACCCGTGCTCTTCGATTCCCGAAGGATGGTGTGTGGAAAGGGGAAATGATGTGGGGCAGTAATCAAGCAGGGAGTGAGGACAAAACTGGCTATTGGAAATATAGCTTTTACTGCACATCTCATTGATAAAAGTGTCAACAAAAGGAAAAGTACAAGAATAACCAGTTGCAGTGGGGGTTTGGGAGGGGGAAAGCACGAAGAGCAATGTAGTGTGGGATGCCTGGAGGACGGCCCAGACCTATGTCATGGTGTCCGCACATAACACTGAACGATGTCAGGATACATTCCAAGTGCATTTTTAAACCACTTCAAACAGGCTTGTATGTCTGTCTGTCTCAAGTTTAAACAACTTTTAAACTGTTCCAAGTATTATGTGTATTCACTCCCTAGAATCACAGTAAGACACTGCAGAGAGATCATTCTGTCTGAAGCAGCATGATGCTCTCCCAGAACAACACTGATCAATCACTCTCTCTAGGTACATGCAATAGGAGGTAACCTACCTTACTCCCCTGATAGATGCAGCACTGAAGTTCCACTCATGAATGCTTTTCTGCAACACACAGAAAAAATGTGTAAAGAAACAAATAATAAAAGATTCCTCTTACCATGAACAGTTAACACGCATATCTCCCAGCTTTTAAGTCAAAAGACTGGCGGAGTTAAGTAAAATTCCCTACATGAGCATTTTACTTGGTAATGATTATTCTTTAAGACATCATAGCTTAATATCGTAATATCCCTGTAGAATCTTTGCTTAATAAAATCACTACTCTGGAGAGAATTTCTGTAATCAGAACAATAAAGCCAGAGAATGTTTCTTGATAAGAGATAGGATTTAGAAAGAGGCTTCTGTGCTAACCACTATCATAAGTAAATGAACTCCAAAGGATGAAAGAGACATGGAATTTAATAGATTATGAAACACATTATCAAAAGAAATAATTAAGGCAATAAGAAGAGACATATTAGATGAACTGTCACATTTTGTGCAATGAATGGAAGGCTCTAAGTCGACAGTACAATTTTCCACAAGGATTGCCAGAACAATTTTCCCTTCCTTTCTGAATCCATAATTCTTTCCCTTTTGGTCAAGTTTTATTACAGGGGATATGTTAATATAAAGCAGTACACCAAAATTTAAAAATAAAAATCAAACTAAATTTAAAGTAACCTGTCACTGCAGCCAAGG